TGATGATTGACAACAAGTCTGCAATCAACCTTGCCAGAAACCCAGTGCTGCATGGGAGAAGCAAGCATATTGAGACCAAGTATCATTTTCTGAGACATCAAGTTCAGAGTGGAGTGTTAGAAGTTGTACACTGCAGCACTCAGAAGCAGTTGGCAGATGTTCTGACGAAAGCTATCAAGACTGATCAATTTCTCAGATTAAGGGATGGAATTGGTGTTACAAGTTTTGATGGAATATGAATTAAGGGATGGTATTAGAATATTAATAATAATTCATATTTATTTAGTTGTACTATTTTAGTATTTTATCTTATTCTAGTAACCCTAGTTTTAGCTTATAAATAGGGTGACAATCATTGTAACTTTTATTCCTGTTTCTTCTGCCGTCATTCTCTTTAATAGAATATTTCCCTATTTTCATTATTCTATCTTTGCACCAACAAGAATATGTTTGAAATAAATATCAATGTAAGCTAATTCTATTTGTAAGTTTTAGAAAAATCAAATTAAGTGTGAAGGATATGTTGATAAGTAGAGTGATTTTCATTGAGTTAAGACGATGGATACATATAAGAGATTTTTAACAACTTGATAAACTAATTAACTAACCACTTTGTAATTAGACTAATTAACTATTAACTAATTGCTTAACCAACTGTTAGTTACAAACTTTTAGAACAAATTCAAAACTCAAACACACAATTAGTTATAAAATTTCAAAACAAAATCTTACTACAACACAACATCTAATTCATATTTGAAAGTATTTCCATTTTAATAAGCTTATTCAATTCATCAAGCCTTGATAATTAGAATTGTGTGTTCTAAAATATGAAGTGGGATAAATTTGATAATTAGAATTTAAAATAAGACGATGTTTATATTCATATTCTCTTTTTCATTAACAAAAGAGAATAAGAATGAAATTATTAACCTTTTTATTACTTGATACTGAAATTTTCTTAGATAAAGATATATTGACTATTTTTATATGTCTTTTTAAAAATTTTGATAATCGACCTGCGATTTTAAAAGAATCAATTTCATTATTTATTAACGGAGATCTGTTTAAAGTGTAAAATTTCATATAAACTACTCCAACATAAAAATTGATTACACCTAATAGAATTTAAATCTAAAATCTTAAGAAAAAGAACTCTTAAGACCCAAACTTTTATCACTAGACCAATTCTTGGAATTCTCTTCTTTATATATATTTTTCTTTTTTTATCAATAGTGAAATTCCTTTCTAAATCGAATAGGTCGGACTTATAAAAAAGAGTCCGCAATTTAACAGTCAAATTCAAGTCAATTTTTTTTCTAAATAGAAGGTTTAGATTCAATTTTCTTTATTTATTAGCTCTTTAATCTATTTAAACATATTTCACAAATTATTTATTTGTTTATTTGAATAAACTTGTAAAAAAAACTTTTAAAAAGCTAACAAATCAAATTGTATTAAGATTTCAAAAAATACGCATAAAATTAAGTCTATAATAAACTACGAGAATTTAAAGTTTTTGACCATAACAAATTTAAACTTGCAAAATCAAATTTGATCTAGCTTATTTTCACCCTCATATAAAATTCTTGACTATAGTCACAAAGAGTTTTCGTTTTTCTCCCCAATCCTAGATAAAACTTTGATTAAACTATTAAGAATAAAGATGACAAAATAAATTGGACTTATAACTTATTTCATTTAACCTCTCAATAATATATATATATATATATATATATATATATATATATATATATATATATATATATATATATATATATATATATATATATATATATATATATATATATATATATATATATATATATAAAGTTATACTTCAACCAACAACAAAAAATAGCAACCGATACTAAGAACACTTTGTCAAAGGAGTCGGTTGAAAACTCTCAAATCGTTATTGTTTTAGAAAAATAATATGATTTCTTAGTCAATGGAAGAGAGTATGGGAAATAGTCACATACCTACTTAAATACCATTTCCAATATAGAAAAATGTTTTTATCTTCCATCTCATCCTCAAAACTAGACTTACATGTAAAAACATTATTATTATGAGATTTTCATAGCGATCAGACTACTCTATTAAATGTCAAATCAATAAGAAATCGTCTTTATTACTTAAAACATCACTCAAGAAAATTACAAGATCAAAAACATATGGGAGATCTCTAGACAAAACTAACCACCATCATAATTATCTAAAAATCTTATATCATTTCACAAGTTACAAACATATGGAAAACAGACTTATCCGCCTCCTATACATATGAAACCCCATACCCTTAGACTCAACAATAATCTTCGAGGATTTTTTAATGCACTCTATATGTTTCTAAGCCACCACCCAAAAATACTAAAATGCTCGCCAATTTTTAGAGATATATCTCCGGACGCATCAATTACACACTCAATGCAGGTCATTCTGAATGGCGCCTTATAAGTTGGGTTACTTTTATTCCGAAGATGCATCTTAGAAATATTTCAAGAAATATATTAATTATTGATCGGCTCAATAGAAATTCTGAAACTACATCTCGAAAAATTTGGGCGAAATTTTAAAATATTCTATTACATTTGCATGTCATATATTTCTGAAGATGCATCTCCAGAATAATCTGATAAAAAAACAGATGCATGATCATATAACCATTGATTCCATTGTTATTTTTCAACACAAATCTTCACCAAAACCCCCTTCATTCTCATTTTTTTCACTTCAAATCTCCAATCTTGTGGTTCATCACATCAAAGGGAGCAAAAGAAGATAGAATTTCAAGTAAAAATCATTTATTTCTCATTGTATTGCTCACCTTAATTGAGCATTTTGTCTCAAAAAAACAAGCGTTGTGTCCGGAATGTATCTCTAGAACGAGTATGAACTTTTTCGAAAATGCATTTCTGAAACTAGTCTGTGTTCATTTTTCAAGTCTATTTTCATCAGTGGCCTTATATACTGTTATGTTGTAATTGTTTCATTAGATATAATGTACCCCGATGTTTTCCCAAATCAAGTTATTTTTTTTGAATGTCTAAGGTGTTGTTGTTAAGGCGGTAGATGTTGACAACCAATTTAAAAATAAGGAAGAGTTTGAATCTCGTGATCAAATGATTCAATAGATTCCTATGGAGACCTTTAAACTTGGACTTTGTGTGGTTATCGAAAGGTACAATAATGCTTCGAATAGAAGATGTGTTTTTGTGACAATGACGTGCGAAAGAAGCGGAAAATATGGAACTCCTCTCCGAAATTTTAAAAGAGACGACACTAATTCAAGAAAATGTGAGTGTCTATTTAAGGTGTGTGGTTACATGTTTCCAAACAAAAAACGTGAGATTTAATGTGATATGTGATTTGCATAACCATGATTTGTGTGAAAAATTAGTCAGTCATCCTAGTGTGTGTCAACTCATACCGGAAGAGAAGGAATGTGTTGCTGAAATGACATTAAATCAAGTTCAACCGAAAAATATACTTACAACATTGAAATGGAAAAGACCCAAAAATATATCAAATATCAAACAAGTGTATAATATTAAGTACCTAACTAACAAGGCGCATAGGAGGGATAGAACATAAATGAAACAACTCTTGAAACTGTTGGATGATAACAGCTACGTGTCAAGGTACCGAACGTGCGAGGATGAAACTGTGTGGAATACATATTTCCGTTTCGAAACAAAAGTTCTGCTCGAGTTGAAAGCGACAAATTTAAGATCGGTCAAAAATATTGCGAAAATGATGAAGTGTCCGCCTGAATATTGAAGTAGTGTTACATTTTATGTTGAAATTATTTATGTGATCCTAATTTTATTTTATGAATCTTAACTTCTTCTTTTTTGGAAAATTATATGTTTTTGGTTGTACTACGAATGTATTTGTGTTACGAAAATGTAACTACGGAAACATTGCAGAAATACATCTCTGAAATAAAATAAACCAAATAATAGAGTCACTCGGAATAGTCTGTGTTGAGTGTGTTGGATACGTCCGAAAATACATCTTCAAAAATTAATAATATTTTTGAAACATATAAAATACATTACAAAAAATCCTCTAATCTTTCTATTAAAAAGGTCACCCAAATGAAAATCTTGTCATGCTAGAGTTGCCGTTAGAAGAGAGCCCAAATGCCCTAAATGATTGTAAAACAAATTCAATCTACTAGAAGAGGAGGTGGAGGGATGATACACTCTACACAATATCGATTGCCTCATCTAACCATGTTAACAAACATATGCTTAGCATGTCCGGCCTAACCTGCTGAGAGAACATGTCAGCTTACCCAATCGCATGTGTTTTAAAATTAAAATAAACTTTTGTTCAATGTTTTTGGCCATCGACGCACAGCAATGGCATCATGATGAATCTTCATATATTTTTAGTGGAAGTAGAATAACATTAGCAATATTGGAAGATGATTGTTGAATCGTGAATATAGGAATGACATTTTCCTTTTTCAAGAATTAATATCATGTTTTCTTAAAATATGTGAATGTTCCATATATTTTCTTGCATCTGTTTTTTCTGTCAACAGTTTCATGCAAATGTCTTAGAAAATACAAGTTAAATGGAACCAGCACAATCCGCAATTTTATATTATTTTTAAGACTCTAGGATGGCTATCTTTCTTTTTGTGCCTTCAGATCTTTATGATCATCACATTTAATTGTGAAATTCTACAACGAAGGGCAGAAAACAGATAGCAGCCAATGAATTCCACACATAGTTTGATTCCTTGAACATCAAGCAATGAATTCCAAACTGAAATTATGCATCTGCAGGATCCAAAACTCCCCGAGGAATGTTTATTGATAATATAAGAATAACATGAAGAGGAAATGGGGGAATGTTGTTATTGATAATATAAGAATAACATGAAGAGGAAATTTTAACACATAGTTCATTCTACTCCTAATACATTTTCCATTAATATATTATATCAAAAAGACCATTCCTCTGTCTCATTCGCAAGGCCAACCCTACTCAACCACGGCTAATAAGTCACTTGATTTACAGAAGCAGTGCTTCGCTTCAGTCCCCAAATCCACCTGAAAAAACAGTTACACCAACATATATTCATCAATGATGAAAAAATTGCATCTAAACTTATGCTACAACGTAAATACACCCAGATATAAAACATATATACATAAGAGCAAATATTTTGAAGCAACTTACCTCATAAGCACTCATGTCATTGAATAGTACCTGCAAAAGAATAATTACAATTTAAATTTAAATTTGAAATGAAATGCAGAAATTTGATCAATTGATTAAAAAACCAAAAACTTTTTTCCATTATTTAGATATTTGAAAAAAAAGTAATACCAAGTTACCCCTGCATGATACTACCCTCATGGCAAGGCAAGAAGTGAATCTCTAACTCCCTCCATTTTATCAAACTAAGACACATTCAACAAAACCAGAATAGACTTCACAGTCATTTGACTAATGAGCAAAACATTATATGTGCGTAAACACTGTGGTTCTTAGAAAGTCTATTTCTTTTGTTTTAGTCCCTGAAAGTTTTTGTCAACACATATAGGTCCCCTAAGGGATGAGCTTACGAGCAAGTCATCACTTGGGAAATGTGAACTCATGGCCAATGTAGTCAAGGACAAGATCTTAAGTAGGATGGGTTGGCTTGTGAAAGATTGTAAAACTCGGGTTGTTAACACCGTACATAAAATCCAACTAAAGGGGAAAATGTTTGTTTCATATATACACAAAAACATGAAAATTATTATTCAGACCCAAAAAAACATACACAAACATGAAAAACATTATTCAGACCCAAAAAAAAAGTTCAGCACGTTTTTTTTTATAAATAATCTTGCTTCAAAAAGCTCAATCTTAACCACATCGGTGACGAAAAAGATCTTTCTCTGATTGTAGCATTCTCAAGCATCCTTGGAATGTAAGATCTTACAATCTTACGTTCCAGCACTCGATCTTGCCACACTGCTCATGACTCATGAACAAGTTAACAACTACAGGGACCAGATAGATACCGTACAAACATTATAACCAAACATAACCTCAAATTAGCACAAATATGGAAAACCGAGAATCTAGAGACATTCTATCAAATTTACCATACAAACATTATGACCAAACATAACCTCAAATTAACACGAATTTGAAACAAATATGGAAAACCGAGAATCTGAAGACATTTTATCAAAATTTCAGGAACTATCTCATATCAATAAAATTTGTGTAATCATGTGTTATATTTTAAGTCACATTAACTAAACAACATACCTTAGCACCAGCCTTTACATTTTCAGCCTCAGCACCAACACTTAGGACCTGTAACGAATATGAAAAATTATCAAAAAGTAAATACACAATAAGTTGTTAAAAAAATAACAAATCTTCAAATCTAAAACACCCGTAAGGCACTATGTAATATTGTAATATGTATACTTACTTCCCCTGTAAGATATCGCTCAAATTTAACAGCTGACTTGGGCAGCAAAATTCCACCAGCAGTTGTCTGACCCAAAAAATTACATTCGCAAATAAGCAATGCAATCATGCACTATCAATTGCACAATACCTTATTCAGATGTTATAACAAAATCAAACTAAACATAACGAAACAAATGAAGCCACCATCAAGTTAAATCACCAATAAGTCGTTTGTATATCTGTAAGAAGTTCAAAAACAAGATCTCTAGTCTATAGTCTATACCTTCGTACGAAGGTGTAATTCAAGAAACATATCATGATGCAGTTAAATCACAATTATCTCACTAACAATGGAACAAGGGTGTTTCTGTTTTCATTGACGAATCAGAAAACCAAATAGGCAGCATTGAATGAGGATATATCAGATTTCATTATTATTTAACTTGCTTCGCCTGTGTTTAGGTCACACAAGTGCGCCAACCCGGGAAACACAGACAGGGATTTTCTTTTAACAATAAATCGGTAAGCCTACATCTTGGTTTCTTGTTGTTGCAATAAATTTCGCACAGCAAACACATTAAATCACAATATGGCACATATTCAAACACCAAGTTAGATAAACAAAGAAGCACCGCAAACAAATCCAATATTCAGCCTACAGTTTGAACTTATCCTAGTAATCATTGCAAGATTGCAAGCACCAAATTGGAACAACAACAACAATATCAAATGAAAGAATAATTAAGCACTATAGTCTACTCCTCATAGTTCATGCACACCAAGAATAAACAATATCCCAAATTAAAAAAAATAAAATAAAAAAATTGGATATGTTTGTAGCATACTTGTGATAGCTCCTCAAGACGAATAAGAACCCTATCAGCCTGAGGCACCACCTGAAATACAAAATATCATCAAAATTCAGATGCAAACAAAAAAATGGAAAATTAAAGGAGAATTAAAATTAAAAAACCTTAGTTGGTTCCCATTGCTTGGAAATTGCGTTAATTTTCAAAGAGTTCCTCTTCAAAACTGAAAAATACCCAGATGAGAAAAGGTTAAGAATTTGCTGAAATTAAGAAATGGGTTAACAGAAGTAAATATTTTGATGAGTATAAGAACAATACGAGGGAGTTTGGAGTTGGAGAATGAAGCTGCGGTTGATTTGTGAAGGAAAGGAGTTGGTACGGTGAGAAATGTGGAAGCCATGGAAATGGATAAGAGTGGTAAGCACAGAGAAGAATGGATTGGAAATTGAAGATGAAGTGTTAAACCCTTTGTTAGGTTTTATTATCCACAAAATTTTAAGAGCCAAGACAAAGAGAATGAGGCTACCAAATTTCTTTTTCTTGTATATTTATATTATAATGTAAAAACTTAAATTTTTTTTAAAGTAGAATTACCAAATAAAACAAGATCATATTCTTCAAATGGTTTGGCGAATTAGTTAAAATGTTGTTTCAAGGCATTCCCCAAATGCAATGGCGAATGTTAATTTTTAAGGTTTTTAATTTTTTTTCCGTTTTTCTTGTTTTTTTATCATATATTTAAAGTTTTAAAAATTTATTTGTTTTTTGATTTTAATATCATTATTATTAGTAACTATAAAATATATTAATTTATAATATAAATAATATTAATATAATTAAAATATTATTATTAGTAACTATAAAATATATTAATTTATAATATAAATAATGATTGAATCGAAGGATAAAAAATTTTTTTTAATAATTAATTTAAGATTTATTGAGTCTTCTTCTCATTCACCACAACTTACTAATGAAACTGATCACACAATGTCATCGATGAATCATACGAAGACCGAAATTTAATTTGTTTTTTTTTTTTTTTCTTGTTGGCTTGGTTGTAAGTTAGATTGTTTATTTTTTTTAATTTAGTTGGACAAATAATTATTACTAACTGGGTCGTGAGAGTCATTTTTAATAACTAATAACGTGACTCTAGCAATACTTGTTACTAACTTTATAACCGTTTTTAGTAATTGGTTGATCTATGTAATTGAATTTATCTTATTTAAATTTAAAATATTTTAAATTAAATTTTAATTTTTAAATTTTGGTTATTTTAATATTTAAAATTTATAATGTTTTAAAATTTTATTTAAACTATAAAATTATTGATTATGTACTTAAAAAACATTATAAGTTTTTATTTTTGTTTTATTTTAAATTTATTATTAAAATAACTATAACATAAATTTAATATTTTTATATTTAAAAATTTATTAAAACTAAAATTTGTGATTTATCTGTGGTTATTTTATGCGGATTTATTTGAGGATCTTTTTGCCAAATATATTACTCATAATGGTTTTAGTTGGTAATCAAAAAGTTAGAAAAAACCATTTTATGCAAAGATTTAGTTAAAATATGGAAAAGGTTGTCCTAATGATTTTGACTATCTATTTTGATTGTATTCTTAAATTATTTTAATTGACTTCAGTTTCTAATTTTTGTTAAAATATTGTACTTTTAAAGTAAGGGATGTGTTTCATAAAAAAAAAAAAAAGATGTTACTTATTATTTTCTATGTATTAGACTTATTAATATAATGCAAATAATATGCTAAAGTTAATATTTTTAGTATTTTCTAAACAAATTATCAAGTGTGTTACAATGACATTATAACATTTAAAATTTAAATAATCGTGAAATTCACATCATACTATTAACAATTTAAAAATTGAGCATTTATAAATTTCAATCCACAAAAATGATAGAGTTATTTAGAAAATCAAAAGTATATATAATTGAATTAATAAGTCTGATGTTAAATTGCTCTCTAATAGTACTACAAAAAAAAATTCAACAACTTCACTCATGATCTTTCCATGTCAAACTGTTGAACATAAGATTTACCTTTCAACCATGAATTCGAATGTTGAACATGCTATTCACCTTTCAACGGTGAATTAGAATGTTAAACATGAGATTCACCTTTCAACATTTATGAACTATCATGTTTAACATAAATATAACCTTTCAATGATTATTATAAACTTTGGAACGATGTCAAATTTTAATTTTTCATTAAAAGTTTTTCGTAAGTTACAATATGGATATTTGGGTCTTAAATTTTTTTATGCTTAAGATAAACAATATTTCTTTCAATTTGTAATTGATGGAATTATGTATCATCTTTACCTATAAGACACACTTTATCTATCATTTTTGTGGATTGAAATTTTTAAATGCTCAGTTTTTAAATTGTTAATAGTATGATGTGAATTTTACGATTATTTAAATTTTAAATGTTATAGTGTCATTGTAACACACTAAATAATTTGTTTAGAAAATACTAAAAATATTAACTTTAGCATATTATTTACATTATATTAATAAGTCTAATACATAGAAAATAATAAGTAACAAATAAATTAATATATTCTATAGTTACTAATAATAATTATATTTACATTATAAATTAATATATTTTATAGTTACTAATAATAATATATTAATTATATTAATATTATTTATATTATAAATTGATATATTTTATAGTTACTAATAATAATGATATTAAAATCAAAAAACAAATAAGTTTTTAAAACTTTAAATATATGATAAAAAAAACAAAAAAAACAAAAAAAAATTGGAAACCCTAAAAATTAGCCACATTCGCCAATTCACCAACACATTGACCAATTCCTTTGGCGAATGCCTTGAAACAACATTTTAACTAATTCGCCAAACCATTTGGCGAATGGCCTAATTTTTTTGAAAGCTTGTTTTATTTGGTAATTAAATTATATAACATTGCTACTTTAAAAAAAATTCTAAAAACTTTAATTGTTTTTGCAATTTTCAATTTAACCCTTCTGTCTAATTCTTTCACGTTAATAATTTAGAGGCAAATAATGATGGTAAAATAGGTCGGGTCCTTCTGGTTGGACCCATTTGATCTGTCATTTTTGGTAGATTAAACTGAGATTTTTGACTCGTTATTTTAAGTTAGTTTGTCCCGTCTAACCCGCTTGAAAAAACGGATCGAAGCGGGGCAGAGTGAATTTTGTGCGCGGCTTATTTGTTAAAAAAAAAAATTATTTAGAATTAAGACAACTTTAACTATAAAAACAACACTTTTCTTTTATAATTATGTTAATTAAATTGTATTATAAATTATTATATAAACAAATTAAATTATAATTATAACGTTTTTTTCTATAACTTTCTAAGACATGTGTTGATTGGAAAAACTTAAAATAAAAGAATAATTGTATGACATGTTGAATTATTAAGTTGTCAAACATTAGCTTACATGTTTTTTTAGGAATAGATATTGATTTTAAGAAAATGAAGGATTTGATTAATATATATGTGTGACAAGTTTAGGATTTAACTATTAAGGAATCAATCAATATAAGAGTCTATATGATGTAAACAGTGAGAAAGTTAGGTGTTGATATTTTATGCATTGTGATGTTTTATGCAGTGTAATTGTTATCGATGTTTGTCTTTTGTAAATTCTTGACTCAATTCTTTTAGTAGTTAGTTTTCAAATAGGATTAGGATGATGTGTTACTTATTTATTTATTTATTTATTTTGATACATTTTTTTATTGTACTTTAGTTTATTTTTTATTTTTGTTGTTGTAATTGATCTTTATTTATTTTATTTTTGAACTGTTTGGACTTAAGACATGTTGAAGTTCTATTATGCGTTATTAAAAAAATCTTTTGCCGACCTCTTTGATGATAAATAATTTTTTTGTAAATTATGTAGTAAATCAAATTGTAAAATAAAAAATAAAAAATTAGCGGGTTGGCTCGTTAATAAACGGGCGGGCTTGCCTTTTTAGCTCAGACGTCTAAGTTGGTCTGTCCCGTCCCGCTTTTAGACGGGCTTAAACGGGACGAACCTAAACGGGGCGGGTCGCCCACTTTGCCACTCCTATATTTATTATGAGTTAAATGCAACGAGTTTTGTTTGCTTATTGAAACTCAATCGTTATTTTGCATATGGTTTAACACATTGTATTCATTCAGATCACTCAACTAAAGCCATGAAACCAGTACTCTGCTTTTGGCTAACAAGTACTCCCTCCGTCCCAAATTATAAGACATTTTGAGCATTTCACACGAATTAAAAAACTTAATTATTACTTTATGGGAAAGAAAAATTATGTATAACTTTACCGTAATGTCTCTCATAATTACACATAAAAGAAAAATTAAAAGAGTTGAAAGAATAAATAATAATAAATATTTTAGGGTATATTGGAAAAATTGTCATTAATATTGCATTGGAAATGTAAGGTCTTATAACTTGAGACAAATTTTTTTGGCAAAGTGACTTATAATTTGGGACAAGGAGAGTAATTCACTGTGTATTGGGAATTGAACCCAACACTTCTCTCACTCAAATCAAACTTCTAAAAAATTTATCATTTCTAATGCATCACTGTTCAATCTTTGCGTTTTCCATTACCCATATTCTCATCATCTCACTTTTTTTACTTTTACACCTCAAATTTGGTCTCAAAAAAGTTTCTACTTTCTTTAAAGCTCCATAGATTTCATCTTGCACCCAATCAAAGGTTTGTAAATCACACTAACTTGATCGGATTTTACAAATCAACATGGCAAGACCGTTTGAAATGGTGAAGGATATCAATGATAGTAAAGAGCTATAGAAGATTGTTGTTAGAATACATCATAAATAAATTGATGTCTCAAAGAGTAAGGAGCATTTTGAGATGATTATGGTTGATAAAAAGGTAAGTTTTCTGCTACAATCTTCACAACAGTTTTATAAATGTTTATAATTGGTTAAACATGTATCTGATTCTGGGTAGTCAGTTAAATATCCATTATGCTTTTATGGTTTCCAAATAACATTAAATGATAATGTTAACAACATTTCTGCTATGTCTTCAACTCACCTTCTAATATGTGGAGCTATTTTTTGTTTGATGTCACAACTTGAAGGTTAAGGTTAAACTAAGGTGTATGATGTCTAAGTTTAGCATCTATATATTATATCTATTTGTTTGCATATTGTTACAACAATTTTCATAACACCATTTTAAACATGACATACCTGACATTTTAGGACTCAAATATTCATATCAAAGTTTCAACTATGTTTAAACAAGCTTTTAATCGTGTCTTAGTCGTCAATAACAATTATACCATTTCAAATTTTCAATTATTTGTGAGATGTTGGATCGAACTCAAGTATGG